AAAAAAAAAAAAAAAAAAAAAGAATCAAGATGCCCAGGAACTCTCTTATCCTTCACCCTCAGGAATGAAAACAGCACAAATCTAGGGCTTAAAGTCTTTAGACTGCATAATGAATAGTTATTTAATATTTTAGCAACAGTAATTAATTAGTCATAGAACTGTGTGGCTGCCACTGTACCACGATGAGGCAGCTGAGGAATTAATATTTATAGAACCCCCTCTGGAAATGAGACCATTTAGTAGGGATTTCTAGAACAGATCAGCAACACAAAGAAGTGTCTGGTCAAAAGAACTTTATGTTGGAGGCCTGGAGGCAGAGAATCCATATTTAGGTTAAGACAACACACACACACATACACAGAAAATATCCATTCACAGGAAGGGAAGATTTGTGGCTTAAGATTTCTTTGGAATTCTTTTCTACTCTTCCATTTGAGAATGGAGGATCAGGGTGGGAAAAAGAGCAAGAGAAGCTGTTGGCTGGGCAACCCTAAGTTGGAAGCCAAGTGGAAGCATGAGGAAAGCAGGAAGAATAGTTATCAGTAGGTTGGCCCTCGGTTACCCCTGGGAGGCACCTCCCCAGGAGGGAGCAAGTTTGTTGACAGAGGCCATCTCCCTACTGCCCCAGCTGCTGACGTGATATTCACCGGCCTTGGCTCAAGCTGGGGCCCCTCTGGGATTTTGCAATATCTCTCCTTTCTGCTGGCCTTTCTGTTCCAGCTGACTGTCTAAAATGACTCTGTAATCCTTACTGGGCCCACAAACATGTGAGTGTGGCGTGAAGATAAGCAGTTTTTGATAAACCTTACTAGAGCTTACGGGTAGTTTTAGCTGAGACAGCCATGTTAATTTCTAAGGCCTTTCAAAACATCATGGAGAAAAACACAGGCACGTGTCTGCTAAACACGCACATACACACGCCGACAGAACCTGTGGGGGCGATTAATTATTTCCTTCTCACTAATTACAGTCTCAAAGAGGAAGCACACCTACTCGAAATCTTTTTTCCAAGTAAGCTGGTAGGCCCTGTTCATATTTTTATTTCAAGGAAGATTATTTCAGATCATGGGTGGGTCTATGGCAGCTGGAAAAGAAAATCAGACGAAAGAGATAGTTGAAAACGAGGAGGGAGAAATTCTCCCTGAAGCACCATTGCATTGCTAAAACTAAGGGACAGGCCTCCACTGTTTTGAAAAGCCCAGAGATGAAGCAGCATTAAAATGCCACCCTCCTCGTTTGAGAAGTCCGCACCAGAGAGCTCCGAAAGATGCTGTGTTCTCCAGCGCCACCTTGTGGGCATCAGAGGCCTTGCAACACCGTGATTTCCAGTTCTGACTTGGAAATTTGCAAACATTCTCCTGCTGCAAGAAGTTAGATTAAGAAAGGGTGGTTCCCACAAAAGAAAAGTGGGCAAAAGACATTATCGTAGGGTTTTCACACAAGAAAAAGTAAACACTGTATGTTTTTGTCCCTTCAGTATTCACTGAGTGCCTACTGTGTGCCCGGCAAAGGTTTAGGTTTGGGGGTCCAATTCTCAAGGAGACTGGCAGCTTCCCTCTCTCATGAGAGATGTGAATCTACTTGGTTTTGTTTTTTGAGACAGAGTTTCGCTCTGTTGCCCGGGGTAGAGTGCCGTGGCGTCAGCCTAGCTCACAGCAACCTCAAACTACTGGGCTCAAGCGATCCTCCTGCCTCAGCCTCCCGAGTAGCTGGGACTACAGGTGCACACCACCATGTCCGGCTAATTTTTTGTTTCTATTTTCAGTTGCCTGACTAATTTTTTTCTATTTTTTTTAGTAGAGACAAGGGTCTTGCTCTTGCTCAGGCTAGTCTTGAACTCCTGACCTCAAGCAGCCTCCCAGAGTGCTAGGATTACAGGCGTGAGCCACTGTGCCGGGCCAAGGGAAGTTACTTCGAGCAAGTAATTCCAAACGGAATGAGAAATGCGGGCACCTGGTCTGGGGGTTGGGGGTTCTCTGAGGATGTCATGTTTAAAGCTGGTAACCGATGTGTATGAGTTAATAAATGAGTGTGAGGATAGTAGGGGGAAAAGCATTTACAT